TATCTCGGGAACCATAAAAGCCAGGAAGCTGAAATTTTATGGTAATGTCTTCTGTCCACATACAATTGTTTAATGTTAAATTCAGCTCCCCGCGCGTCCGAGTATCATTTACGGCCCCGTGGGAATTTTGGCGTGGAAAATTATTATCTCGGGGGCTGCGGAGGTTGAAATTTTAAGTTGATCTCCCCTTCAAACGTACCACCTCGCAAATTCGGACTCAGCCTTCGCGCGCCCGTGGGTACCGCGTACAGCCCCGTGAAAGTTTTGGCAGGGAAGTTATTATCTCGTGTGCGTGAAATTTTTAGCGGGAAATTTCGCAACTTAAGAACCAGACAACATTTCAGCTACTTTTGCACAGACCAAAATGCAAAGCAGTGAAAATCATTAGCAGGCAATCGTTCGGTGAAAGGAATTGCACGAAACGCATGATGCACCGGCTGTCCTGGTGCAAGCCGCTATTTGTTCTTTTTGTGGGGTGGCGGTTCAAAGGCGTTTTGACTCTCTGTTCCTCTGACGCTGATTTTGATGACCTTCAGTTCGTCATTTTTATAATCTTACTCAGCCCTCTTATGCTGTCATTTTTTATGCGTTTTTTGCAGCTATGCAATGCAGAAAGCGCGAGGGGTTATCTGTGTGTCTGTGTGTGCGTCTGTCACGCAATTTCATCTCAAGACATATAAAAGCTGCGGGGCTGAAATTTCGGGAAATTAATCTACAAGCACGTTCCGGCTCCAATCCCCAAAATGGGCGCCAAAACCCGCGTACGTGCCCGCCAAAGTTTTTTCGGGGTAAGTTCATAACTCGGGGATCTAAGAAGCTAGAGCGCTGAAGTCTTAAGGGAGTGTTCCCCGTCCAACTGGGTATTAATGCACTCAAACCCATCCTCCGGGTAAGTGTGGTACTCGCGTACGGGCTCGCCAAAGTTTTTTTCGGGTAAGTTCGTGACTTGGGGATTTGAGAAGCCGAAGGAGTGTAATTTTAAGAGGATATATCCCCTCTACCTAAGTTTCATTGAGCTCCAACTCAACTCTCGGCTATGCGTGGCAAACACGCACGGGGCCGTAAAAATTTTTTTCCATTAAGTTGTTAACTTAGGAGCCA